GACCCGATCAGGTTATTTGAGTGGGTCATGGGCGGATAATTTAGGAATTGGGTCAGGTTTAAATCAAAAATAGGGCTGGGAAATTGGGGGTTTGATTTGGGCTAAAATTGAAATGTAATGGGCTATATATTAAATAGCCAATTTCTCACTTTGTAATTTAATTAAGATAGTTATAATAAAAAATAAATTAAAAGCAATGAATTAATTGATAATATATAAACGTTAATCTAAAAATACTGGGAATAATTTTATAATTGTAAAACGCTATTAATCGTAATATAGGCTATAATTGCAATTTTATGCAATTTAGCTTAAAAATATCAAATAAATTTATAAAAAATATGCAAAAAAATCACCTTAATTATATCAGGGTGTAAATATGAGGATTGAAATAAATTACTCACCAAATGATAGTTTTTTGGGAATAATTATTAGATTTTGTACTGCTAAAACAAATAATAAAAATAATTTTAAAAAGCTTTAAAAATTAGGAAAAAATACAAATACTCTTGGGCATGCTTATATATGCTATTTTGAGAATATTTTGAGTATAAAAAAATAGGTAGAAAAAAATTGGGTATCAACACGGACAAGCAAAGATTTCCAAACCATGATTTACTCCATAATTTTCATTTTAGTAAAGAAGAAAAGAGGGGAAAGAAAATAACTCAGGCATGTACTGAAAGAGTCAAGACTGTTATGCACTAATCAGGAATGAATCTGACCATTTAAAGGGTCAGACTCATTTTTTCCTTTTTGTGCTACTATAAAAGAGGCATTTTTTTAACATAGATTTCATAGGAATATACACTAATTTAGCAATCAAACATGTTGAGTTTTAACTGGTTACGGTGAGGCTTTCCCCAAAATAGGCCATTAGCAGCTCCTTTTTTCCACCAATGCCTCTCAACTGGTTACAGTATTGTTTTAGGTGAGCGACCGGGTCTCCGTGCCCGTCGTACTTTTCAAATTTTGGCATCTTGAAGCCAACTGGCAAGTGGACATGGGGAAACATACAGAGGTCAGAGTATGAGACACTCTTTTGGCCACTCAGACCTTGCATGTTTTTCAGGATTTGTTCCAAGCTCTTCATCTTTCGAGCCATTTCCTCTTGCTCAGGATTTTTAAAAACCTTTTCTTGCTCCCCCGAGAGACCATATTGCGGAGGTTGAGTGAAGGATTATGGGGTCACATATGTTATTTCTGGTTGAAGCTGTGGACCCTGAAAGATGAACATTGGATGCGGTGCCCTTGAAGCCGGTGCCTGGGGGCGAACCACAGAAGGCATGCCAGGATCATTGGAGGGCATTAAAGGGTGCCCGCATGGGATGAGCGGGTTGGGCACAGGGGCATTGGTAACCTCACCTGAACTGGGGATCAACTCAGGGAACCCAGGGGTTGCATTTGGTGGTTCCCTACCATTAGACCAGGCGTCCCACTTTCCAATATGTGGAGACGCAACATCTTATTCTCTTCAGTAGACGGGCTATCCTCAGGACCGATGATTGGTGGATTGCTTGCGGAGGCCATCTGTGCCTTTGGATCTTGTGAAGGAGGGGAGGCTAGACTACCAACAAAACCAACCACCAAAACCTGGCTAATTGCACACCCAACAACCTTATTAGTTTTTCGAGACATTTAACATATAGAAAATCGCACGTTGCGATGCAATGCACCTAAACAGTTAAACGCTTCTACCATGTGTTTGAACGGTTGCATGTTTCATCCCGGCCTTAATTAATCCTCTCTTTTTTTTTTTCAATCTGCACCTCTTTTCTTTTATTTGTGCCTCTCTTTAATCACTCTTGATTTTTCATCTTGTTTACCTCGCTCTTTTATTTTTGGCACTCTTTTTTTTTCTCTTTTTGTTTGTTAGTCTTTTATTTCTTGTCGCTCTCTTTTATTTTTTTATTTTTTCACTCTTTTCTTTTCTTTTTTTTTTTCACTCAATTTTTCTCTTTTTCTTTTTTTTTTCAGTTTATTTTTCACTCAATTTATTTTATGACTACGATCGAATCCGATGGAGATTGCCTACGTATCATGACGCCGCATGAATCACATCTGGCGTAGTTCGAGAAGATCGAGAATAGAGTAAACTAACTGGGGTTTTTTTTTTGGTTTTTATAAAACTCAGATCGTGAAAGCTTTAAGGCAAAAGGAAAACATATTTTTTTTTATTCTTTATTTTTTTTTTGAATTTTCGAAGAAATGCTTTAAAAGAAGAAAGGAAATATACATATTTTTTTTTTGGATTTTTGATTTTGATTTTATTTTCTTTTTTTGAAAGAAAGACTTCTAAAAATTTCTTTTCTTTTGATTTGAACTTTGAGAATTTCAAAAGTAAAAAAGAAAATATTTTTGTTTGAATTTTCATTTGTTTTATCTTTTTCTAAAGAAGAAAGAAAAATATTTTTGGATTTTGGATGTTGCCTCTTAATTTTCGAAAGAGGGACTTTTTAAGAAAATATTTTGGATTTCTAAGTTTTTTTTTATTTTTTACAAAAGTACTTCTAAAGAAAAGCGAAAATATTTTTGGACATTTCAAAATTTTTATGGACATTTACAAAAGAAAGACTTCTAAAGAAGAAAAAAGTATTTTGGATTTTTGTTTCTGATTTTTTTAGGTTTTTTGGAAAAATACTTCAAAATGAAGGAAACCCGTATTTTGGATTTTGATCTTTATTAATATTTCGTTTATTTCTTTTCCACATGAAAGACTTCAGAAAGAAGGAAACTATTTTTGAGTTTAAAAACTTCTTTTTTTTTTATTTTTGAATTTTCTAAGGAAAGATTTCTAAAGAAGGAATAAAGGAAAGTTTTTTTTGGATTTTTTTGAAATTTGGGGTCGGAATCGATGAGGTTTGCCTACGTATCTCACATCCGGTGAGAATCAGACCCACGTAGTTCGGTCAGTTTTGACAGAACAAGGGAAAGATGGCACTTGAAAATTTTAGCTCGTTTTGAAATGACTTCTCTTTTTTCAGAATTTTGGTAGAATTTCAAAATTTTCTAAATTCCTACCTCACTTTTTTTGATTTTCTTTTTTTTTCTTTCCCTATTCTAGAAGCCGGTCAACATGCAAGCCGAAACAAACAGATGTGCGAGTAGCACGTAAGATGCATCAGGATGGTCTTTTTAATTTGGGTACACCTGTCCTAGGTGGACCCAACCCCTGTGTTGAGTCCCCAAAGTCAGATCCACGTGATGCAAACAAATGTACCTACTAGGGATCCGGTATGAAGCCATGTTATTCTAGGTTTAAAAACCTGGGTGTATTGTTCTAGACCTGGCTTACCCGAGCGGACAAACTCGAGTCGAGGAGGGGGCAACATACCGGGAGCACGAAAGTCTGCCCGGCCTTGTTGCTTGCCCAGCCCCGTTCTATTTGGTATAACTCTAACTGAAAAGTGGGCCACACGAACGTGAGCACCATTTTTTAGAAGACTCAGAAGGGAGGCGTAAGAAGATATTTAAATACAGTCCAAATAATATAAAAGCGATAAATGGCAATTAGCATATTAGGTACACACAATACAGTAATATCAACAATAAAGCCAAATAAAAATCACATTTAACAAGCTCGAATTCTTGAACCCTGAACTGGAAGTTCTGGGTTCTTATCCCCAGCAGAGTCGCCAGAGCTGTCACACCTCCTTTTTTACCACCCAAAAGGGGAGTATAAGGGAGTATTTCCAATTAAAGTGACAATATTCGAAATGGGATTATTTATTTAAATTTTCAGAGTCGGCACTTGGAATAGTTTATTATGGTGTCCCAAGTCACCGGTCTATTTTTTAAATCCCAAATCGAGGAAATTTTCGACTTTATTAAAAAGCCTGCAAATCAGAAATTCTAGATAAGGAATTTTGTTAACACGGGAGAAGGTGTTAGGCATTCCCGGGTTCCGTAGTTCTAGCACGGTCGCTTAGCGATTTATACTTGGCTTAAATTGTCTAATTACTTATTTTTAAAATCTATGTGCATTTACCTTTTAACCGCTTTTAAATACTTGAATTATTAAAGAATCGAGTTACGCGTACGTATACACATTTCTTTTGGCGCGTCAAAAATCATGTCACGCGAACGTGTCCACAATTAATAACGTTTTGTTCATTTTATTAAGAAGAATTTGGTTGAAGTTGCGCGAACGCATCCCTCGAGTTACTTTTTAAAATGAAATTCTCAATTATGTTACGCGAACGTATACATAATCGCAATACTAATCTAAATCGAGCCTAAAGCAAACTACGATTATTTAATTTTAAAAATAATATTTGTGAGGGCCATGGATGATTTAATCTATTTATGGCACACCTCAAACCATTTTCCTTCTTTCTTTTTTAGGGGAAGCGTATTCAACTATAGCAAATACAATTATTAATTCTCAATCTAATTTATGAGGGCCATGAGTTAAATGGTTTTGATTGGCATGGCACACCTCACTTATTATTTTTTAGAGGAAAGTTATACCTAATTAGAAGGGCTAAGTCTAAATTGATCTTTTAGGAAGGGATTTCGGCTTGGGCTTAACTATTGGGTTTAATGGGAAGGTTCAGCTTTGCAAGAAGCTGAATCTGGGCTAGAACTTCGGCCCAAGTGAAACGGGAGAGCCCCATGCAGGCTCTAGCTTGTTCTGAAATTTGGTTTGGATGAAAGTTGGCCCATATTGGACCTGAAATAGGCGGGCCCAATTGCAAGACCAAAGGAGAAACTAAATTCCCAAAGGTCTAGATTTTAGCTAAAAGTTCCAATTTGGGCCATCAGCAGGCCTAGGCGCTTCGAGGATCGAATTTCGAATTCTACACAGTTTAAATAAAATGCCTAACATGGGAAGTCTTAACTTATTAATCATGTATTTAATAGGAACAAATCAGATTTGAGTCTTAAACCTTTTAAACCACTTTTCTTAAACACAGATGAACAATACCTTTAAAATTGCTGGAATCAGACAGCCAAACATTGCTTTTTTAAAACATAGCATACTAATCTACATTTGAATATAGCTAAATAAACTACTGGAGCTGCATTAGTTAGTCTATAAATTTATAAAGTCCAGTCCAATTTATTACAAATTCCAGAATTAAATAAGGTACAAAAAATAAATTACATTAGTGTCTTAAACTAAATTACAACAAAATGAAAAGGAAGTTCCTAACTGCTACTGCTCCAGCTCTAGATGAGCTAAGATTCTTATGAGTTTGACCATGTGGAAGGGTCAGATTCACAAGACATCTTCAAATGTAGGGACCTACAAGGTTACCAAGTTAATCCTAATACAAAATGAGTAAAGGAAAACAATGTTGTCCATAAATCCAACCATGTTGAAGGTCAGCCCTACGGACAAGCAAAGATTTCCAAACCATGATTTACTCCATAGTTCTCGTTTTAGTAAAGAAGAAAAGAGGGGGAAAGAAAATAACTCAGGCATATACTCAAAGAGTCAAGACTGTTATGCACTAATCAGGAATGAATCTGACCATTTAAAGGGTCAGACTCATTTTTTCCTTTTTGTGCTACTATAAAAGAGGCTTTTTTTAACATAGATTTCATTGGTATATACACTGATTCAGCGATAAACATGTTGAGTTTTAACACATGTGCAGCACAACATCACAGATTTCATGATTAAATTCAACAATCATTTAAACTAATATTAACACATGGTTCAATTAACTCCAAATTCAAACAGTCATGATTCCCAGACTAACATCAAAGATCAGCTAACCAAACAAGTTCCAAATACAGATTTTTTGAACTAAAAATTGATTCCATTCAAGATGAACATTGTACATACCTTGAAACTGAAAAATATGGAAGAGGAATGACCAAATAAAGATCGAGAAGACCAAAAAGGAAAAGGAAACCAAACTTCAGCAGAACCAACCAGCAACACACAGCAGTAAACCCAGACCAAATGAAGATAGTTTGAAACCAGAAAACTAGCCAAATGAAACAGGGAAATCCTCCACTTCAAACCATATTTTTAACTTGTAAAGAATCAGAAAATGAGAAGTTTTGAAGTTTTTTCAAGATTTCTGGAATCTGAACTTTTCAGGAAAAAATGAAATAGAACTTTTGTGTGGTGGAATGATGTTGAAAGATGTGTCTGAGAGTGAGGGAAGGATTTCTTTATATAGAGTGCCCAAAGAGCATCTAAGAAAAGAATATTCTGACCTAATTCCCTATATTGCAGAAAGGTACAACATCTTTTATACTATTGGTTGTCCTTTTCTTATCCATTACCAGTATTTTCATGCTAAGAATGGGGACAGCTGCCATATTCTAGAACAATCTGATATTTCCCTAATTAGAAAACCCCAAATCGCCCTTCTAAGGTCTGCTTATTGCAGTTTTTACCTAAACTTTTTTGTTCAATTAAGTCCCTAGGGTTCATATTTGTTGGCAAATCAAAACCAACACCACAAGCCAGAAGTTAACACACAAGCAAAGATCCAAGGAACAGATTATTGAGCAACTAACCCTTTAAACCTAAATTCATTTGATTTGGACAGAATCAGAAATTGAAACAAACGCAGAAGAAAAATTTAAACCTAATACTAGCATGAGTTTCAAAGGAAAGCTATTAAAACCTATTTAAGTAATGAAAGCAGCAATTTAAAGAAAGAAAAGGAGAACCTAAATCATGTAGCTAAATCAGTAAAAGAAACAAACCCCTAATTTAAACTAACCTGACTTAATTGTCCTAAAAACATCAAACTATATTTAATTAAAACGATTAACTAAATAAACTTGTTTTACTGAAATTCAAACAAACCAACAATCGAAACAAGCAAAGTGATACCTAAAAAAAAGAACAAATAACCAACTAAAAGAAAATAAGAGAAGAAAAGAAACGAACTAATTTTGGCCGGAAAAGCTTGAACCAACAGAGCAAAACAACGAACAATGGTATTTGACGAAACTTGGTCGGTCAGTGCTGAGTTGGTCTGAATCCGATGGTCTCGAAATAAGCCAAAACTAACCCTAATCGGTTGTTCTTGTCAAGAGAAATTGATAGCATGAACTTTGACTCAAATCGAGCGTAAAACCCCAAAAATCAAAGAGAAAAGGACAGTTTAGGGCTTGGTCTTTTCTTTCAGAGTTTAGATCCGAAATTTGGGAAAATGGGTAGGGATTTTGGAGCAATTGGTGATAGATATAGGATGAGGAGGTTATGGTGGTTGCCTGGTTAGAAGATGGGGGTGTTTGGGTAGACTAGGGTTTTGGGGCTCCAAATTTTGATCAAAAATTTGAGCAAATCGGCAGGGATTCGAAGGAAGCCAGTTAGGGATTCAGAATGAGGAGGGGATGAGGGTTCTATGGTGTAAAGATGGTGGTGTTTGGAGTACCGACGCCGCCGTGGGCGATTTCCGACGGGTGGTCCGCGGGGAGCCGGTGAGGGAACCTGGGGCGGCTAGGGTTTGGCTCTTGGTTTAGGTTAGAGAGACTGAATGAGGTTTGGAATAGGGGGGGGGGGGTATGAGCTTCAGACAGTAATATAGTAGGGAATTAATCAGTTCCCAGCCGTTAGATCCATGATGATCAACGGCTGGGATTTAAAAGGGTTAAAACGGGATCGTTTAGGGGGTGGGGAATTTGGACCTTGTATATTGATTGTTTGGGCTTGGATCTAGGCGAGTTTTGGACGGGTAGCCCCACTTTGGGCTTGGGTGGATTGGGTCAATTTGAATTTTAGCCCAAGAAGGTATTAGACCTTTTCAAATTCATTTTTCCTTTCTTTTTTTTTTCTTTTTTTTAATTAATCAAATCCTAAGATAAAAATCCTAAATTAATCAAAATTGTAAAATTATACTAATTATCTAATTACAAAAATTATAAAAGTTACTTAATCCAAAACTAAAAGAGAAAAATCAATAATCTAGAAATAAAAATGAAAAAATGTAGAAATGGGCCATTTTTTATGATTTTCATTTTTAATAAAGCAAATAATTAATTAATTAATCCTCAAAATGTAAAAACAAACCTATATGCAATGCATGGTATTTTGGTATTTTTCATGATTTAAATAAAAATTAAACATGCATATAATGCAAACAATTAAATTAAATAAAATTCTACAAAAATTCCTAAAATGGCAAATAATTAACGAAAAATTTATTTCCTTGGAATTTTATAGGAGTATTTCATATAGGGCAAAAATCACATGCTCACAAGGAGTCCCTCCGGAGTCTGTACACACCACGAGTGAGCGCGGTTGATATTATTGAGGGATGGATCTTCCCTGGACATAGATCTTGTCCGAAGTACTTGATACCTAGAGATGGATTTTCTCCACAGGGCTGGAATGGCATTCCTCGATACTCGGTGACTTATGGTCAGTGATGTATATATATTCCGAGATGGGTCTTCCTGTCAAGCCCCAAAACCGTGGAACATGACCGGCACTCAACCGAGTAAACCCGACCGAGCAAGTCTGTTAGATTTCATTCTACCCAAACTAGTTCATGAATAAAGAGGGGATGTTATCCCATTTTATCAGAACACTAGGCAATCTTCCATTAGCAACTTTCACTTCATTACCGTTAATGACTTCATTCATAGTTTTCAAAATATTACAAGTTTACAAGCTTAATGAAAGGCATACTTATCAAATACTAACATTTCTAGTCTTGACTCCCAACATCAACCATCACCCACAAACAGTCTATGGAGCCTCTAAACACAATAGAAGAGTAATAGGGAAATGCCAGCAACAAGGCTCCGGCTATACCTCAAAACATGATGAGAAAATGAACAAAAGATACATGACATGACCCCGAGATGGAGTGGGGCTCACCAAGTCTGCTGGGAAGGGAAAACCGCTATCACTGGCCGATACCGCTCGTTGTGGAACCACCTGTACCATTAAACGATACAGTGCCCCCGGCAAAAGGGGCGTTAGCGCCGTCGAATAGCACTAGTATGTAAGGCTAAAAGTCCTCTTTCAGAATAGAATAACCATACAAGCAAGAAACCATGAAACAGTAAGCCAAAACCTACAGCATACAAGCATCCAATTTGAAACATATAAGTCTTCGATTTTACGAAAATAATATATAATTTTTGGTTGGGAGATCATTAACACCGATATGAGTTATACCACCGTCTTTGTTAGCACGGAGTCCGATCACGACCCGATCGGCTAGGTCGTCCCTTTGGGGACATGAACCACAATCACAATTTCCAGTTTTGAATTTCTAGTTTTGATTCCCAGCACAATGCCACCATGTGTGCGGCATGGCGTCCGATCACGGCCCGATCGGCTAGGCTGCCTTCCCACATATGCCGTGTGGGTTGGCGTTACCAATTTACAAATGTTACCAAGTTCATCCCCATTAAGGGGAATAACCACGATCCACCCCTACACCGGCACGTGTAGTTTCAGGTATGAGCCATATGACCCACCCTTCCTCGGTTTTGTTAATGATACTCCCAAAAACATTTTTGATTTGATTAGATATTGCACACAATTGTAGTATAAATACAAGTATTCAAATATAACATAATACAACTATGCTTGCCTCAATATCTTTCACATTTTATAATTTTTATTAATGTTCTCAATCTCTCTCGATAACAGTATTTCTTTGGCCCTTTGGGCCTTTCACAAGGTTCGTCTTTTTCATGGCACGAAGTCCGCATTTTTAGTTTTCCACATTTCCATCTCCTTTATTTCCAAGGATCATCAACCAATATAAATGTACCAAATATTCCGAGAATCATATATTTTCGAGTTCATTAGTAATGGAAACATCAAACACAAGGGATTCTTCCCAAAGAGCGACATGCGAACCAACAATTGAAATACACATTGGAGTTATAAGCAAGCAATCACCTCAATTATCCTTGGATTATTCTTTTCCCATCATGACAATTGTACAATTTCAACATCAGAATGTGTAAGGACTAGCATTACATTGAATGTATTTATAAGACAAAGTAATATCAAGCCACTTATGGGCATAGTTCGGGTATAAGACCTTTAGGCCATTCTATATTTCTTTTGAAGTTAGTTCCTAACAGTTGGGTCGAGGCTTATTTCATAATTTGTTTCACCTCTTCTCATTCGATTCATTTCCAAACATCTTTACAGTTTATCAACAAATAGACACATTCAATCAAGGCATTTAGTACACACAAGAGCAGCTAGGAGCATTAAACAGATCGAATTCTTCTCACCCAATTAGTATACTAACCTTCTTTTAAATTGTGACTCAAGGCTATACCACTTTGGTAGACAAACCACACTTAAACTTACAAAAACAATATGGAATTCACTTCTGAGAGAGAAAGTTTAGCCTACATACCTCGATTGAGCTTTCCTTAAGTCCTACTATACTCCGAGACTCTTAGCAACGTCAATCTCTTATGAACATGACAAATTGAACCACAAATTAGAGAGGTTATCATAGTTCTAGCTCATTTGAGCATATTTTCAAACACTAAATGTGCATTATGCTTTTAAAACCTGTTTGTGAAAGATCCTACCATCCCTCATCCCATCCTTAGCTCAAGGCCTCACCAAATACTTTAAGAACTCATGCATGCAAGATATCCGCTCCCATCCTCATGGATTACCCTTCTAATGGTCTATCCTAGTTATATCTAGTAATTAAGAGCTTGGGTTATAGAACCTTACCCTTTAGGAAGAAGACCTAGGTGCCTTTCTTGACAAATCTTCAAGGTTTAAGCAAGATCTTAGGAGGAATGTTGATGAAGAACCCCTTCTCCCTCTAGGACCTCTCTCTCTCTCTCTCTCTAAATGCATCCCAAATGCATCCCAAAATAGGCCTAAAATGAAGGGTAGCATATAATATATCGACATGGGGTCGGGTAAGAAAATTAGAAATTAGGAGCCCGACAAAAATCCGCGATCGCATATGCGATCGCATAATTGACATGCGGCTCGAAAAAGGGACCGCAAAAATGGCCCCCGAAACCTGAACAAACTGCCCAGGTATGCGACAAGAATGCGGTCCGCATACCTGTTCTGCGGTCGCATAATGCACCGCAGAACTGGCCCTCGGAAAATTCCAAGGAGATTATGCGATGACTATGCGGCCCGCATATTGATTATGC